ACCAGAAAAAAGATTATGACTTGCTAATGGCTCGGATGACTGTTAGCATGTTTTAGCAATTAAATTTTAAATTAAGGTCTGTAAATATCCTTGTACATAAGGCAATTGCACACTTAATAGACTATAGTATAACAGAAATGTAACTTTTACAAGCGTTGAAAAACCAAAAATTTTGTGAGATTCTATTGTAATATTTGGACTATTGCAGTGGTTTCGAAACAAACCCACAAAATCTCTAAAGTATGCCTGTTGTCATTAACCTCTTCTTGGTCACAAACATCTCAAGAATCTTTAAAAAAAAAAAAAGATATGGAGAAACACTACTCAGGCACGAAAAGGACTGAGCTACTGACAGCAGAGACACGAGCAAATCTCAGTAGCGCTAGACAAACACAAAACCTTATGTACTACATTATTTCACTTCTGCGACATCATAGAATAAGAAAAAATAAATCTTTGGTGAAAGAGATTACAGCAGTTGTTGCCCTTGGGTGACGGGCAGGGACGTGAGGACCCTTTCTGGGTGATCATGCTGTTCTTGATCATGATAGGGGGGTTGAGTTGTTCTTTGTTCTTCAAACACCATTGAACAGCACACTTAAATTTTGTGCATTTTATTTCATGTTAATATCCCTAAAAAACATAAACAGTGAGCTCTAGTTAATGATGCATACACGTATCTGATGACATGTACCAACACCTTCACTTTACTTTGAAATATATTTTAATAATAAGATGAGTCACAAGGGACAAAATTGGAGAAAGAGGAGAAGCTTTGAACAAAAGAAAGTATGAAAAGAGAAAGTCAGAATTTATTAACTGACCATGAAAACTCTAGCTAAAATTAATATCAAAATGATAAAAATTAATAGTTGGCTAGAAAAAAGTAGAGAGCCATTTTGCAACCTTTCAGTATGGTCCCAAACTTAATGTTCTTATTAAAATCTAAAAGAATTTAAAAGAGCTAACTATTTTTAGAGAGGTGAGTTATTTTTAGAGCCAAAGATGACCGACCTATTTTTAGATTCCTGAGTAAAGCCTGAAGAAGTCTTGTAATTGTTTCCAAGAAGTAGTTTGTGAAACCGGAAGACTCGTCTACACCCAGCTTTTCAGAAGTCAGCATTGCCATGACCAAATGTAAACAGTAACAGGAAAGAAACAGGAAAAAAATATTTAGATCTTACATCACAGGGGACTAACATCCATATAACTATCTGAGTATCCATACATACGTATTCCTAATATTCCTAATATACAAAATTATTTTAAAATATTGGAAGAAAAAACAACTCAGAAAAATGTACAGCATGAGCCTGGAGCACCTTGTCATATCTGGAAGCAATCCAGAATTCCTGGGGTCTTGTCAGAAGAACTCAGGAGCTGGAAGAGACTATAACCAGCTTGAGATGAGACAGTTTGAGCCTTTGACTGGAACACATCAAGAATACTTAAATTTGTGAATTGATAATATTATTAAAGAAACAAAATTCACCAGCCACCTTTGGAAGATGCTAGAGAACCTCCTCCTTACTTTGAAAACTGATAAATAGAAGAGGCAATGCATTAATTATTTTTCTTTTCTGTATGAACTGTACTTCACTGTCACCAGACACTTGATGGAGGAGAGTTTTCCACTACAGACACATTCTAGTAATGAATGAAGTAGAGCGGCAAAGTGGCAACTGTGAGTGACATAATAGACACAGGTAGTGATGTTGGTGGCTGCCAAAATACCAAAAGAGACAACTGGTCATTATGTTGAAACCTGATGGAAGGACACGACACCATCTATGAAAGGGTCTTGCCATGGAAAAAGAGTTATAGCCAATTAAGCAGATTTAACTACCAGATTATAGACATACAAAGAAACTTCTTAAACAGCAGCACAAAGGTACAGTCAGCACAATCCAGAAAGTGACAACTGTCCAATTTCTTTATTTTCTTATTTTTAGTTTTATTTTTGAGACAGAGTCTCTGTTGCCCCTGGTTAGAGTGCAGTGACCTCATAACTCACAGCAACCTCAAACTCCTGGGTTCAGGTGATCGTCCTGCCTCAGCCTCCCAAGTAGCTGGGAGTACAGGGGCCAGCCACAACACTCTGCTAGTTTTTCTGTTTTTATTTTTATGTTTTTCAGAGTAACAAAGAGATTTTATTTAGAAAGGACAAAGAGAAAGTTTAGAACACTTTTAAAGAGAGTTGGAAATGGGTCACTCTCAGGAAGGAAAAAAAGTGAGAGAAAGACCAGTTTTTTTTTCAATTTTTAGTAGAGATGGGGCTTTGCATTTGCTCAGGCTCATCTTGAACTCCTAAGCTCAAGCAACCCAACCTCCTTGGCCTCCCAGAGCACTAGGATTACAGGCATGTCCAATTTCCTTAATACATAAATTATAAGGAAAAAAAGAGAGAGATACAAATATCTGTAGATTTAAAAGATGTAATAGATTATCAACCAACTACAACAAATGGACTTTTCATGGATCCTGGGAAATTTGAACACTGAATGAACATGTGATGACATTAAAGACTTCTTGTAAATTATTTTAAAAATATTTTAAAAAATAATGGTATGATTATCATTTTGGGGAGTCATTATTGTTCAGAGCTATGTGCTGGATATCTGGAGATGAAAGAATGTCTGGGATTTCCTTCCACATCCATTGGTAGGGGTCATGGGGAAGAGGTGGGAATAAAGAATGTTTGAGCCAAGCACAACTTTGGAAGCACAGCAATGGCACACGGAAGTTCTTGGCATGATTTTCTGTACTTCTATGTATGTTTGTAATTTTTTTTTCATAACAAAGTAAAAATTTTAAAAAAGAATCAAGAAATGAAACTTACATTAGTGTGTAGAGAAACATTTCTCTCCACTATTAACTTGATGTGTGGGAAAGGAAGAGCCGCATTCTTCTCTTTACTAGACGTACTCAGGTGCACAGTGCGAGTCCCATCTTGCAGAAATGGTATGATGTCCGGCAGCTCCCATATCACCATGAGGTAAAAATCATCTTCCTTGCCCTTTAATAGAAATCCGGGGGGCATAGGAAAAGTTCAACTAATTATTTTATTTAGAATTGTTTTAAAGAGATGAGCAAAATAGAATATACTCTGATATATCTACAGACTAACTTTATTAAATCTTAAGCCCATCTATCCCTTGCTAATACAATTTATCTTTCTTGTTCCCTACCCCGAGCAGCCAATAACCTGAATGTGATGCTAATTATGAAAATATGAAAATTTTGAGATTTCTACATATACACACCTGTGTTCAACATATATATGATGTTACTTCCAGGCTTTAAACCATTTTATATTATCCAACTATATGGATTTTTCTTCAATTTGTGTATTTCACTCAATTTTGTGTTTTTGACATCTAAACAGGTTATTTCGTCCATTTATTTTTAACTGCTTTACAGCATTGTATGAATACCCTACAATGTAATAGTCCATTCTCCTACTGATGGATGTACAGGTTGTTGCCAAAGTTTCACTGCTTGTCTTTATGGACATTTTTTGGCAGCGTGTCACTAGGGGACATGATTTCTACACCATATACATGCTGAGAGTAGAATTATGGTGCTGAGCTATGCATATCATCAACTTTACTTTGATATCACCAAATGCTCTTCCAGGCAGTGTTACCCATGTCTGCTTTCACCAGGAGTGGATGAGAGTTCCCCTTTCTTCACATTCTCACTAACACTTGGTATTAATGGATCAAAATAAGTTTTTTGCCCATCTGATGGGTTCAAAATTGGAGATTTAAAAATTAAGTTTATTAATTGCATTCATCACATTTCCTTAATTTAGTGGCTTAAATATTTTTGTGTGT